ATGACATATGCAATTTGTTTTTGAAGAATAAGCCTTGAATACCATATGTACGATTTCCTTACATTAGTTGCATTATAATGATGATATCAGACTAACTGGTCATCCAAAACATACGTCACATTCAGTAATCTTAATACCAAATAAATCCAAAAATTTAAAACAAAAACAAAAAAAGTTCAAAAATTTCCTCTGTAAAACACAAAATCAGCTCTACTCAAAAGTAAGAGACACAGACTCTCAAAGATTTATTTTTATGATAATCCAAACGTATACCACATTTGCGAGTGATGTTCTGCTTACCTGGTTTCTCTTAGCTAATTCAAATTTTAAAAAAATTATTTTGAGCTAATGAAGGAAGAGGCGTAAATAATTTTTTAGGGCAAACCAATCTTATAGTACGTAAGTACCATGCAGCAAATAACAGTACGTCAATAACCTATAATGATTAAAGAGACACTCACAACAGTTTGCACAATTTGAATTATTTTCGGAACCTCATTAATTAGGACGTTATGGAATATTTGTCTGTTGCAGAAAATAACTAGTTTTTAAGAAATATTTGTGACAAATGACATTAGACGAAAAGAAAATCGCTGCATCAGCCGCCACCTCACTCCTTCCTCTCTCCATCTTTTCTGGTTGTCCAGCCCGCTTAAGGCAGTGAGTGCCTGCAGTACTCTCCGGTTTCCTAGATCCTCTTTCCCCCCCCCCTCCCCCATCTGTCCAGGAACCCGAATTGCGAGATGTTCCCCACTCTCGGGTTGAGAGCGACCTCTCGCGGTCGCCCTTCCGTTTTACGACGTCGATCCATCTCGCCTCGCCTCGCCTCTCCTCTGCTCGATTTCCTCGATTGAGGAAGCGGCTCGCGCTGGCGGCTCCGGGGCGGGCGGACGCGGGGGCGGCCCGGTCACCCTCCCTCCCACCGCCGCCCACGACGACCGCCATCGCTCGCATCGCCGCGCCGCTCGTCCTTTGTTCGGCTTTTTGCGCGAGCGCTGGAGACATTCGCCGCCGTCGCCGCTACACACTCCCACTGTTCCGCAGCACTGGTTCCCAAACGGTGTTAATTGACCTCGTGTTACAGCACGCTAGCAACCTCGTCGCAGTCTGGTCTGGATTTTCAGTGTTATTTCAAGTTTACGTTATGTCTATTTTATTATTAATAGTCCTATTACTAGTACTATTTGTTATTATGTCCTTCGTGTTGTTCATGGATAGCGTGCTAACGTTCCTTGCTGGGATCCCGGATTCAATTCCCTGTCGGGGGAAAAATAGACCAGTAGCTTTTCATTACAATAGTAGCAGTGTCTATAGATGTGTGATGAAAGAAAAGCCCAGGCCGGCCTATTGTACTAAATAGGTGATGGAATGCACGCTATAAGTCTCCCTTGCCCCCAGGCGCGGATAATAAATAAAAACGAGGCCCAGGTCTGCAACATCGCTAATTACAAAAGTTGGATTTCTGAAATGTCAAATATACACATGCATGCCGTCCGTATTGAACACGTTTTCACGACGGAAATACGACAAATGTGGGAAGTGCATGAACCAAACCAAGTCTCAACTAAATTCCACTTGGAAGCTCGTGGAATGGAATTGAGCTAATTGAGTGAAAACAGTGGGTCGTCTAATATGCGCATGTGGATAATGAAACGATTGAACATTTTTGTAGCGGGGTCATGCAGATAAATCCCTATTCTTATTTGCTACCTAGGGCCCTGTGAACATTTTAACAATAGAATTATTTAATATAAATTTATTCGGTCAAACCCAAATCAATCAATACGCAATGGGGGGAAATCAATTGTGAGGTGTTCAGAGTTCCTCGGAGAGAGATTTTTGGAAATTACATGAAGTTAATACCGAAGACTGTGAAGAAAGGATTTAGAAGCCTAATGGCTTGTAAATTCCTTCATAACACCTTATGACAGTCTCTCCAAATAATGCACAATCGAATAGAGGATTAGTGGCTAGTACTTTAAAGTTCTTGTTTAGAACTTCTTCGAAGGGCGTACTCGTGTGAGAACTCTCGCATGTGGAAACTCGATCTCCCCTACTTCCTTCACATTCATACGGAGAAAATTATGTTAGAAAAAAGCATCTTAACTGCTTGTCTCTGAATTCGAGATGTTACACGTCCTCCCCTACCAAGGAGTGGGAGTACTTACAAAAGTTAATAACTGTAATGGAAAGTCCAGGAAGATCTTATTTAGTCGATTATGTCGTGAGAAAGAAGTCGAGGCCTCCAGCTTAAAAATCAGGTGTTAAGACCCTAGGGAACACCTTTTTGGAGTTATGTACATCCATGTCAAGAAACACACTATTAAGCGGGTTGTATCTCACAGGATCGTATTTGATCCTGCTTAATTAGGCGCGATTTTTCAACAAATATTAATGTTTAAAAAGTAAATGTTCAATCGTCACATTCCGCAAGATTCAAAATAGTTTGATTCATTCCTTGGGATTGAAAGAGCGCTGCAAAACATATCTGAATGCACGTCCTAAGGACATAATATAATATAAAGGAGCAAAGTTCGGGAGAAATATGGAAAGGAACTTACCAATTGCAATACGTATTGATTATTTCGTTTCCGGGCGCGTGAACGGCAGTGGTGGCTAATCCCATAAGTATAGTACATAAATTTATTAGAGGAAGCAAAGTCCCCAGCTTGATAGTAGCCGCCCTATCTCGACTTTCGGGGGTTTCTTCCCGACTTGCGGCCAGGTATCTTCCATCACCGGGCTCCCTCCCAGCCGGGGTGCTCTATGCTCCCGATTGGTCTATGTGGTGGTGAAGCACATGTATGGAGTATTGTAAATGTAGGTGTATATGAAGGGTGAGACTAGGACAAGGAAGAGGAAGGAAATATCGTACGCTGTGCCTGGCCAGTTTGTTAGACTACTGCTCCAGCATTCGCCTGGTGTGGACCGTAGAAGACCTCGGAAAACTATCAATTAGAGCAGTCCATCACTAGGATTCTCCTCTAGACAGCGACTGAATTCGACCTAGCTATTTAGCTAGTGTCGGAAACCTGGCGGCCGTCGGAACTAGGAACCTATTACGTTCCGGTCAGAGGCACTGCAGTGACATCAATTGATGCCCTGAGTTACCGCAGCTGGTAGGAATATTATTTAAAGAACTTACACTATCTATGAAATTCTGTTAATTACATACTTTTGTTAGTGAAATACTTTTGTTATTTCCACCTTTTTTAGACTGTCGTAATCAATTATGATTATGTGAAGAGATAGACTCCATATTTTCTTTTAATATTAATAATTTCAATTTCTTTTAATGTTAATTTATTCTATTTTTATGCGCAACAGTACGCGGATTGTTGTTCCCATCATCAGGCTGTAAAATTGAATTTTGAAATTTTATAGTACAAATTTAAAACTTTTGTATTAGAATATTTTGTACTACACAATTTCAATTTTAAAGCGTGATGATGGGGCAACAATCCTCGAAACTGTTGCGCTTGTATATAGAATAATTATCATTAAAAGAAATCGTCTGACACAATAATATGGACCCTAAATCTTCACATAATCATAGTTAAATACTTTTTGCAGTAACTTTTCAATGCGATGTAATAGGAACTTGCTATAATTGTAAACTCTAGTTTTACGATTTACATGTGAAAGCCAGTTGAGCGCATTTTTCCCTGTTGTGTGAAGAACCTGACAGATTCGCTGTGTTTGTTATTTTGTGAGAAGCCACATATCAGTAGAATTCTTTCGTATGCACGCCGTGATACCTTCCCGCGCACTCCAGTCTATGTGAATGAAACACGCGACTGCGCGCACCGTTGCGTAATGCAATTCTCGGTTGGCGCGATGCCGCGATGTTCAACTTTGACACATTGCGTTACTGTGTTAAATCGAAACTTTTAATTTGAAACCATGTCATTGTCGGATTTTCGATAAAGTCGTGATATTGGTCAAACCTGTAAAAAATATTGTCATTCGGAGCGGGGTCGGAGCGGGGTCGGAGCGGGGTCGGAGCGGGGTCGGAGCGGGGTCGGAGCGCGGTCGGAGCGCGGTCGGAGCGCGGTCGGAGCGCGGTCGGAGCGCGGTCGGAGCGCGGTCGGAGCGCGGTCGGAGCGCGGTCGGAGCGCGGTCGAAGCAGGGTGCGAGCGGAGGCGGCCGGAGACCGAATGGGGTAGAGCGGCCTGGCGCGGGGGCCGAGGCGGGCGAGTTCCGGTGGATTGCGGCCCATCTACATGTTCTGAATGAGAGGCGTCCGGGATGTGTCGTGCGCGTGTGCCAGTGCTCGTATCGGCTGTTTGTGAAGCACGAACTGCGGCCCGCGTCCTGCCGCCGCCGGCGGGCGAGGTGTGGCTGTGTTCCCGCGCATTGTGGCGGCGGCAGCGACGGCGTGGCGGAGCGCCTGTTTTTGCTCTGGAGGAAGCCCCCCGCCCTTACGCCACTGCCCAACGCTCGCATGCACTCTGCGATAGCGCCATTGCGTTTGGAGGGGGGACCAATACTACAGGCGCGCATTCCCGTTCGTGACCACTGCCACTGTTACGAAGTTGTGAAATGCAAATATAGCTCCTCCAAAAAAAATTACAGGGAATACCATAAGTTATTATTAGTTGTTTTCATGTTACTCTTTCGTGTTTTGCCTGCTAATATACAGAGCTATGTAATTTTGGGAGTTTGGGGTACTTTTTTGAAGTACTGTTAATAGCTACGAATCACTTTCTAATTTATTTGGGGAAGTTTAACCTGAGGAAATTGTATCTTTGAATTTCTAAAGCACGTGTCTTTTCGTGAATGTTGTGGTGTGTATCGTTCATCTGAACAAACCATAAGCATTGCAAAATTATGGTCCTCCTCCTATTATTGATTTTTGTAAAAATAACTCATCTTCACGTTATACCGGCAATGTTTTAAACAAAGTATTAAACACATTTTAAAATATTTATTTTAATTTATTACTTCTGTTTATCGGCAACGAAATATCCAACAATTATTTGTTCGTATTTAGCCACAAGGTGCTGCAGATCAGCGTGGGGCTGGAGCAGCTGGGAGCCGTGCGCTGGGAGCTGGTGGCGTGCCTGCTCTTCGCCTGGGTGCTCGTCTACTTCTCCCTGTGGAAGGGCGTGCGCTCGTCGGGGCGCGTGCTCTACTTCACCGCCACCTTCCCCTACGTCGTCATCCTCATCTTCCTGGCGCGCGCGCTCACGCTGGAGGGCGCCGACCGCGGCCTGCGCTACTTCTTCAAGCCGCAGTGGGCGCTGCTCGGCGACGCCAAGGTGAGCCCTGCCTCTCTCTCTCTCTCTCTCTCTTTCTCGCTCTTGCTCGTCCTTTGTCTTGCGCTCCTTCTCTATTGGATGAAACTGGCTGGGTTTAGATCAGAGCCAGCATTGCCGCTGACTCTCCACCGACTCGGATAGGGGGGTAGAGGCTTTGAGTCTCGATGGTGGCGCATTTTCGACTCTAGCTACATAGCTAGGTCGAATTAAGCCGCAGCCTGGAGGAAAACTCTAGCAGCCGGTGGCTCTGATCGTTAGATTTCTGTGGTTTCTTCGACTAATGCCGTGAGAAAGCCGGAGAACCATCCTATCAAACGGGTCACGGATCGTTTTTCCCCCTTCCGTATGCGATTTTTCCTTCCGTTTCCTTGACCTTCCTTACACACTCACTTACATTCACTACAATACCAAACATGTCGGGTAACCAGTCGACAGCTTAGAGCTTATCCCGGTTGGGCCGATGCATCACTGGGGGAGATACCTGGTCGGTGGCCGATCAGGTGGAGTGATATTTGAGACTGTAAAATAGTCTCCTTGGGAATTTACATTCAGTTGAATGTCAGTTGTGGATACGTAAGAAGATAGAACATACTAATAACCAAAATATTACATGATGTAAAAATATTTTGGCGTATTTGGAAAGCATCATTAATTGGTTTAGTCTATAACTACGAAAAGTTTATATCAAATAGCAGTTTGGAGTCATAATTTTACGTAAAGTCGCACAAGCAATTTGGATTGGCACATCAGTATACCGCATCATATGTTTTGATCTCACCTCAGTGCGTATCTGCACTCAGCTGAGATTTGTTAAATAAATCTTTTTACTTTTTATGCAATTGTCCCGAGATTGGAAATCTAATTTGTTTGCAAAGATGGGAAGTTATTTCAGAACTGCAATTTTCTGAATTGCGTGTCTTGAAAAACATTTACGCACGTGACCATATTTCTGCTTCTTTTTTTCTATTTATCGTTTTTAAATTCATAAGAACATATCTTATACTTGATGTCGTAAGACACGAAGGTTCGGTCGTGTCCTTTTCATTGGCACCTGAGGGCAAGCACATGTCATTTATCTCGAGTTTGGAGAGAAGTACCCTTGACGAGAAATGTAAATGGTAATAAATGAGTTAAGTATGCACCTGACAATTTATGACGCACTTCATCCTATGCAAATGAAATATACCCATTCATAAGTGAGGTAGTTTTAATTTCAATGTACAAGTAAATAACTTGAAATGTGTATTTCATGATTCAAAAATCTATTTTTATGGATCACGTTTTAAGTTAATGTATACTTAAATGGATTGTAGATGGATTATCAGAGTACGTTATTATGGATAACAAGAATATTTATTGCATATTAAGAAAAATCATTCTCAGAAAAGGGGGCGCTAATTTGCAAGTCAATGACTTGATTTCCACACACTCGTTTAACCAGATTCTGAGAAATAGCAGTTTTCCTCAGTAAAAGAACGTCTAAATTCATCTCAGTCGGTAGAAGAAATTATTGTATATAAATATATCTCTCCCAGAATGACACTCAAACAGAAAGATGGATCCTAATACTATAGATCAAAAGAACCGGGTGGTGTGTAAGCAAGGTGAATTGACAACCATCGATATACGAACGGTTATGACACATTGTTCGGAAGCGGCCAAGAAGGGAGTGAATTGTGTTAACATGAAAGGAACACAAAAGTCCAGAAATATACAATTCCACTTTGCATTTTGCAGACATTAGTAGCAATAACATTCAGTTCATACTCGCTAAAGTTCTAAATCAGCCGGACATATTCACACACCTGAATCTTCTTAACCGCTATTGACAAACAACACACACTTTCCTCTTATTTTTGTAAGCAAATCAAAGTTCTTTTTGCAAAATGACATTTTAACACGATTGACAGGAATATCTTTATTTTTTAAGAGAATTTTCATGTTGTATATTTGGTTAATAGTATATCCTACCTATTTTTATTGTTTCGTCTTATTATCTTTTCATCATAATTTTATATATTCTTACGCGTTTTTATTCAGGTAATTTCGAGAACACTAGAACTTAGTTGTTCAAATATTAACTGATAAAATACTAATATATGTGATCAGTAGGAGGCAGATTTGAATTAAATGTCATTTTTTGTCTTTTCACTTTAGAACAATGTCTTTTAGAATATACATTAATTTGATGTTATGACAAAAGGAAATGACCCATTTTTATATGAATTTTTTTCCATTTTTCGTCGATTTCGACTAATAGGTCATTTTTTCCCATTTCCCTTGATTTTTAAAACATGTTTCGTCGATTTAATCGATTTTAATACAATTTTAATGGCAATTCTTGAAAATTTTTACGAGATGCAACAAATGTGCTCCACAGAATTCCTGAGTTGCCTATTCGATTTCTTTGCTCAGAAATTGTAATATCAGCCCTGGATACTTACGCAAGGGATGTTGAGAAATAGTGACATAATAGTGATATAACTGTGATAAACGTTTCTGTGATATATGTAAAATGCTTACATGATATCAATACAATACCTTTTAAATAAAATAATAACTCATTAAAATGAAAACACGAAAATTATATAATTATTCCACTTGAAAATTTCCCAATCTATTGTTTTCAATTCTACAAAAATTATATATAATTTTAATTATTATTTATTCAATAATTAGTTTTTTAATTTGTTTGTTATTACAGAAAAACATTGAGATAATAGATATTTTGTAGTAACTAGTTTCTCCATTTTGGTGTGTACAGGTATGGGTGAACGCGCTGGCCCAAAATTTTAACTCATTCGGAATAGCGTTTGGTTCCATCATTTCCTTCTCCAGTTACAACCGATTTCATAATCAGATATTGGTTGACACGCTGGCGGTCACCATTATCAATGCCTTCACCAGCATCCTAGTGGGCATTTTTGCCTTCGCGACGATCGGCAACATCGCCTCAGAGATGGGCAAACATGTCGAAGACGTCGTGGCAGATGGTAAGTGTTTTGTGTTCTTCAAAGTTTCAAGAAGTAATGGGTTTTGTTTGTTGAGCGCAAAAAGCGATTTCAGAACAATTCTTCATTTATGGGAAAAGATGTATATTGAATGCTAGCTTCAACAAATTAGTAAATTAATACTTCTCAGATTTATTTTCTTTGTTGAATAAATATTTCTTCGTGTACTAACCGTACATTACATTTAAGCTATTGATACTTCTCAAATCAAAATAGCTTTCAAGGTGCAAAATGATAGAAGATTTTTCGGTAATTATTATATAGAAAATCAGAAAACAACATTAAATAATGTTTTTGCGATTTTATATTTTTCATATAATATATACTTTGTACTTTTCTGTGACTTTTCTACAGTTCTTCCTTTTATGCGATGAAATTGTCAGGGTTCAGATAGTTTATATTATTAGTAGGTGGTAGATGGTAGAATTTATCACTTTAATTTTAAAAATCGCATTTTGAAAACAAGCATATAGCATTTTATAGCATTATAAAAATTAAAATTTAGCATTTTGTAGCATTTGTTGAGAAAATTATTATTAAGGGAGGACTCTGAGATAAAAATATATTTTGAATTTTTCCAGATTTTCTAATTAAAAATCAGGAAACAAGGGAAACTAATTTAATATTTTACCATTTGTGAACTTCAATGAATATAAAAGACCCGTAAAAAGCGTAAAAAGTAACGCTTATGCCGTAAGCGGAGGGCCTACCTCATCTTCTCGACACCTTCTCCACACAGCGAACTGAGGAAGCTGAGACCACTTTAAATGACCCTGAGCGCTCTGGCTTTCGGTTCAGTTGTTTTAAATTGTTATTATTATTTTTTACTTTCTTTTGTTTTCAGTTAAATCTTAAATATAATTTAATAAACACGGGCACTCTCAAATTAAATGTTTTCAAACATCGATATGTTGATATCGATGTTTCATCCCTAGTTAGAGAACGAAAACTAACAAAACCATAAAATGCAATTAAAAGCAATTATTACACGTCCGTATGGCCCTTTGTGCGTGATTTCGCATTATGGGATCGATTTCGTATTTCATCGCAGATTGAAAACCTTCAGAAATATGCTGCACCAACCGTCCAACATATAGTTAATATTTTTCAGTGTTTGGAAAAATTTCGCATTTTTAGCAATTTCTCAAATTTCCCATCTCTAATTATTATTCATATAACATGGTGTAATTACGAAAAGAGAGACCGGGGCTGCTTAGTACGAGCTGGAATTTTTATTTATTTTACGAAACTCTGGTTAAATTTGGGCAAATTTTATTCTATAAATGGAAACTACATTTATTACACTTCATTATGGTATTTTTTATTTGTGAAAGTTTGAACTTTTATATTTTATATTTCTAAAACAAATCAAGACAAGATGTGCCAACCAACATGACGTGTGGAGTGATAAGCACCGATCTTGGGGTAGGTTGGCCCTAGTATGGGGTAGGACACTTTGGGAACTGACAGCAGTCTAAGTAATACCAAACTTAAATATCTAAAAACCAATATTTATTTTTTTTAGTCAGTCTTTTACTTCTTTTTAATAAAATAACTTCTTGTCGCTTTCGTAATGTTGAGTAAGTAACCTCATTTGACAGATTCAAGTTTGACCCTTAAGTGTACTCTATCTTGCGATAAACAAAGAAGTCAAAGTTGCTGGTTTAAGTTAAAAAGAAGGAAAAAAAGGATTTCTTAAAAATATTTCATTGTAATTCGTCAGAAAACAAAACACCGCCGGCTTATGACAAAAAGTTAGCCATTGCATGCCCGCGAAATACGAGTCGTCCCTATCATAAGAGGATGACAGGAGAGGAACTCTTTCTCCAGAGACGGGTTTCCCACTTCTACCTCACACGGGCTCTTATCACAGCATACAGCTAGAAATACCATGAAAAGGTCGTTATTTTTGAATAGTCATGTTTATATTTTGGGAAATATATCAGAAATGACACGATATTTTATTTTGTTCAAATGACAGGTACAAGGGTAACGTCACAGTACTGTCCACTGCATCACTAGCAGCTATTTCAATCACAGCTTGGTTGTAGGTTACAACTAATAAAGAGAAAGAAGCAAACTATTTCTTTCCCAATATAACAGAAGGCAATTCTAGAACTACGAAAATATTTCTTTCTAAACTCAAAAACACATTTCATACCACGATTCCACTACCGTTGCACACATCATACTGAGACTTCTGTGAGAAGTTTGATAGGTCGAGAAGGATTCGAGACACAAAGCTAGGACTTATGGAAGCCACGTGACTGATGTAAGGACCTGAGTGTCAACAGCCCTGATCTCCTCTATTGAACGACACCCGGATAATATTACAAATTGCACATTAATCACCTAACGCCTCTGATTACAAACTGATTACTAAGAACCAGCGCGTGCGCGGACGGGGCCGCAAAGCAGCAAGTGCTAATTTGGCTTAATCGCAAGTTAGGAGAGTGGCTATTTGAGTGTTATATTTATCTGCAATCGATATTTAAAGGAATCGTGCTACATTAGCACACACTTTCTCGCATTATTTCTTACTATTGTAATTTTCGAAAGTTCAGACAGTTTAACGAAAAGGAGACCTTCTCCATTCTTTTTCGTTGGCAGGGCCCAAAAATAAGAGGTTATCTGTCAAAAAATTGAAAACTGATTTCCGCCATCCGATTACAAAACTTTCTCTTTACTACGTACATAGTAGGACGAGAAAAGATTAAAAAAGACGCGTCAAAGTTCATTTTGTATGCTGGATAACGTGTATTTTTGGAACCTTTGATAACAGAAACACTGTCGCGTCTTGAGAGCTATTGCGAAAGCTGTCTTCCCGTGCGTGGCAGATTTGCGCGATAGCGCCGGCCAGACGCAGCGCGTGAGCGGGCGGGGCGGCGAGCGCTAATTGGGCGTAAGCGCTAGTTGGGCGAGTGGCGCACCGTGAGCGCCGCCAATTGCAGGTCCAGCTGCCGCCGCCGCCGCCGGACGCGGGCCCTCCGCCGCGGCAGCGCCTCGCGGCAGCGCGTGGGAGGGCCGCGCCGGCGCGGCGGACGGCTGGGAAGGAGCGCGGGCGAT